CGATCCTGCGCCCGCAGGGGTGGTGGGCCCTCGCCGCCGGCCCGGCAGGTGCAGGTGCAGCTCCGGGGGCAGGCCACAGCCCGCAGCCCAGTGCTCCCCCTGGGAAGGCCCAGCGCTTTCCCACTCAGGCACCTGCAGGGGCAACACAAGTTCCTGGCTGCCAGGGATGAAGGGGCAACTCTAGGACCGACTTGTAATGCTGTTCCCCACCTCTCTCCCAGAAGGACTTGCAGGCGGCACAAGACAACCCGTTTCGTCTGCCCCGCACACCCAACTGTGCAGGGGGAAAGAAAGGAGGGTCTTCCGTCCGGCATTTTGGGGGGCAAGCGAGAAACAAGGAGGCACCGTTTTCAGAGAGCCTGCGGCATGAGAAGGATGGGAGGCTGGAATCGGGAGCCCCGTGGCAAGTTGCACAGGGAAGAGTAGGCCTTTTCCGGGGGCGATGTGCAGTACAGAGTTGGTGCAGCGAGGAGGGTTGTTGCGCGCGTGTAAACAAAGGTCAGGCGTGCTCAGGTCACTGAACAGCCATGCATCACTGATGTCATTACCAAAAAAAGAGGGGGGATGTAATAATCAGGTCCTCACCAAAATGCCAGGCCTGATAGTTGTAGCTGCCTCTGTTCTATAGAACAGGGTAAAAACCATCCAGTAAAAGTGTACAAGGTGGTAAAATGTTCACAAAAAATGAGCATAGGATAGACCATTTCTTCCCCATAATGCACTGGAAGAAGGACTGAGCAAACTGAATGGACTTGAAAGCAACAAGTTTGCCCAAGCTAAGAGATGAGAGAAAAACCCCTTTATTGACAAAATGCATACGTGTGGACACACTGTATTATAAGGACTTCCTAAGAAGAAAGAGGCTAAGTGACAGGAGTCAAACTCATGTACCCAAAATAATTCCAAGTGAGAACATGAAGAAAATGTCACCAGGAACTGTAATACAAAACTAGAACAAGTTTTCAAGTAGGTAACAGGGAGAGAATAATCATGTACAATACACAAAGCCCGCTATGACCTCTAAACACAAAAAGTAAACCAATACGTGCTTCGATGAGTAAGCGTATCATCATGTATGTATTACAATAACAAAAAGCAGTGTATTAAAATTAGGTAAAGAAACACGAGCTGACATCTACTGAAATAAACACAAACATCATGCAGGGCCTGCAAAAAGAAGAAAATGGTAATAGGGTGAAATGCATAAAATATTTATCATATTCAGCAATGCACAAAATAGATTATGATCTCAGAAGCAAAGCTTGAAAATGGATATAATGTTTTAAAATACTGTTATTCTAAGAAGTGTAAGTGAAGGTAGAATACAGTGGAAACACTAAAAGCTGTATATCTGTGCTGCAAAAGATTAGTAAAATTGTTACTGAAAGGGTGTATGCTTTACAAAGAAAAATAGGAAACATGCTTTACAAAGAAAAACCAAGGGGAAAACGTAAATGACATTTTCTTTAGCTCATGATCAAGGGATAGCTGTCTAGCAGGTTGTTTATTGAGAAACGGATCTTTTTCCAACAGATGGACTCAATAGAATTCAAAGATAGAATCATTTACTATTATATTCAAATGATTAAAAGAACAAACAAACCGTGAAACAAATAGCTCAACACAAACTTGGTGGAAATCATGGAGATGGTCAATACCATATCATATTTAATCTTTTCTGACTAGCCTGTTGCACTAAACTTTGTCAGATGAAAAAAATGCTGACCACCAAATTAAACTGAAGGAAAGAAGGAAAATGCCAAAAGGAAGTGGCAATGCATATGGGGGAGATTAAAGAAAGTACAGAATATTAGGGGGAGATGCCCTTAGTTTGGTGACAGAATATCTAAAAAACAAAACATCTTCTAAAAAGGCTTATAGCTGCATCAAAGAACATTTAAATACATGTTCTAGAAGTACAATCCTATATATAAGTCCAAGTAACTTAAAATGCTCAAGTGAAAACAGAAAGTGATTAATCTAAAAAGCAGAGTGTAAATTACAAGAGTGGGGAGATAAAAATCTGATAATACTGGAGCACAGGAGGCCTAATAATGATATTATTATGCATGCTAAGCAAACACTGACAAACAAATATTCTGTTAATTATATAATCATGCATATACTTCCTATGCTCGAGATAAATGGTTATGAAAAATAACTGCTATTGAAACTATATGTATGTATCCTGTAAGCTGCATACTACACTGATTAACTTAAAATGTTTTACAATCACCTACTTCTGTTGTTATAGATTGCACACTGATCAGTGTAAAAAAAAAAAAAAAAAAAAAAAAAA